TCCTTTTCATTTCATCTGGACCCAAGGGACGGTACATCTCATATTCAGATGTGGTTCCCTCTCAGTCCTCTCCAGAAACACCCTCCCACATACACACTGGGAAGCGTGCTTCATAAATCTCCTAAGTGATTTTGACACAGCCAAGATGATAATGAAGGTTAGCTCTCACAGGTCAACCCCTGAGGTAAACACCCAAGCAGTCACTCTAAGGTGTATTTCACTTTTAGCCCCCGATAGGGTCTTGCTATATTCTAATACAAAATGTATATTCAGCCCTACCCTGTAAGTCTTGATCGTCTTAATGGCTCTAATATCGTTAATTATTGTTAATTGCCAAGCCAAACTCTTAGATCCAAGGCTTTATAAGAAAATGTCAAGTAACAATTTACATGATCCAATAAACAAAGGCACAAAGGAGACACTCCGTCCAGAAGGGAGCCAGGAGGGCGTAGGAAGGAGGGTCACATGACACCACATGCCCTGCATGCCCGTCAGGGAAGGCATTATATCGTATAGCTCTTCATCTGCTATGTGCACTGTGAAGGGAACTCAAGCGCCTTGGTTTGTTCTGCCTCTGTAGTCTGGCTCTGGTCATCGCATGGAGATGTCCACGGCACATGAGCTACATTCTTGGAGTTGACAATATCTTGAAGTTTCCATTGCAGCTTAGCCTTCAGCTTGACAGCGTCACACGTTGACTCCCTGCAAGGATCTGCTTCTATTGGACATTTGTAGGCATTCCGTACACCCTAATGGGTGAACCCACGCCTCCAAAACATTCGCATTAACAGTACCTACAAAATCACCACTTTGTACAATACCACGCTCTGCTACCAGCTCAAACAGCATCCGGATTTCCATGGACCACAGCCACAACAGGCTTTGTGACCTGGGAAAACAAACCGTGGGAAACACTTTCCTTGGTAGCTCTTCAGGAGCAGAGTGCTTGTTGCCAGGGAAGGTATTTTAAGCAAGTTGATATTTCACACCCTGAAGCAAGCGATGGGCGGGGGTCTGGCAGGTACCTATCAGCCTAGCGCAAAGCATTTGGCATCTGTGTAATGGTGACAATCTCTTGCTAGCACACACATCTCTTGTCCACTCCTCCCTTGCCAAAACACTGGTTATTTAAATCCCCAGACTCAGTTCTTCATTCCTAATTCTAAAGGTAAATATGATTCCAAATGGCCACCAATGACCATGCCACAGTCCTAAATGCAGGGCTGTTTTGAAACTTTTTGTTGCCAAAGTAACTTGTCACTCATGCCTGAACCCAGCCTTCCACAAAGTTTTAAGAAAAAGATAAATTGCAGACAAATTATTTTCTGAAATATACCGTGATTGGCCTTCAGTCCAGTTCCTAACAGATTACGGAGACCAGTTCTAAAAGCCTGCAGAGGACAGTCTCAGGTTTGGTCAAGGAAACTCAATTTCTTGTCTGGCAATGATTTGCCACTTTAGTTACTTCTACTGTTGCTATGAACAAGATACCTGACTTGAGAAACTTAAGGAGGGAATTACTTAGTTCAGGCCATGATTTCAGACAGCTTGCTTCAGGGACACTTGCTTCCATGTAGTCTGAACATCATGGCAGAGGGAACACAGGGCGGAGGAGAGCCATTGAGTTCACGGATGACCAATGGTGACAGTGGTCATCCACTTTATTTTTGTCATCTCCTCGGAAAAAGACCTCACCAGGTCCCCAGCAGGTATCTACCTATGTAAGTTAAAAACACTTGAGTGAAATAAGAGTAGCTTCGAGGATTAGGTAAAGGTTAGGACCATTTTAAATATGTGTCCTAATTGGTTAACTACTTTCTGTACTAGTTAGTCTTCACTGTTAACTTGTTACAATCTGGAGTTATCTGGAGAAACAAAACCTCTGTTGAAAAATTGCCCAGATCAGACTGGCCTGTGGTCTTGTCTGTAAGAACTGTCTTGGTGGATGGTCGACATGGGAGGGCCCAGCCCACTGTAGGTGGTACCATCCCCCCGGGGAAGGTGGTATAAGAAAGTTAGAAGAAGGCAGAAGCCAGAGAGAAGTCAGCAAGTAGAAGTCCTCCATCTTCTTTGCTTCAGTTCCTGCCCCGACCCACCGACCCACCTCAGTGATGGCTTGCAAGCTAGAAGTATAAGCCATATTAACCCTTTCCTCCCTTAACTTGCTTTGTTCAGAGAGTTTTATCATAACAACAGAATGCAAACTAGAATGTTTTCCTTGCTTAAAAAAAAAAAAATTGAAACAGATGAGTAAGAGCAATTGCTTACCAAGTAAATGGCTTGGTAGGTATTTTCCTTTTTATATCAAACAGTCTTGCATAATTCCAATGCTAGCTATGGGGTGCTGTCTAAATCCCAATCTCCAGAATTCTTAATTCTCTTCCTACTATTTGAAGGATGAATTTGAATGTTTCTGGCCTGATCCTCTGAAGAATTTCATGGTTATCAATTACTCAATTGAAAACTTCAGGAAAGGTAGTGTTTGAACTCTTAAGACACTGCGAATCTCACTTGTGAAATTATTTCATCCATTGCTCAAGAATCTGACTGATACTTAACATGAACCAAGGAAGATAGAATCATGAAGAGTGAAATCAAAATGCTTAGCTGTTATAAGAAGGAACTGTGAGATTTCAGGGTCACCATGTTTGGCCACATATTGCTGTATAAAACCATCAAGGTTCATCATCAAATTAGATTCTTTGTATGTTGCTGCATGCTCCTCTGGGGTTCAAGGGCACACTTTTCTTCAGCATCCAGCCTGCACTAGAGTTAGGAAAAGAATTATGAAAATGCTCATCGCCTCAGGTATGGCGACTGCAGCACAATAACGATCTAGCTAAATGATCAAATAACGTCAAATCACCCCACGTTTAATAAATGTGCCAAAAGTCAGAGAACATTAAAAAATGAAATAAATAAATCACTGTAAACTCCAAGGTCGATTTTTTTTTTTTCCTTTCCAGTACTAAAACAACAATGTAGAGCTAAGGAGTGGCAGTCTGCGGGCTTCACTTAGAATCCTGTAAGTTCAAGAGAGGCCTGAACAGGAAGCCTTAGCCAGCCCTGATGAGATGTCTTCCTCAGCGTCATGTCTCTCCCCAAACAGCGAGAGGCTAGTGTCAGCCAAAGCTTCTACAAGTTAAAGAAGTCTTCAGGCTAATGGGTTTTCAACAGTGTTCTATCCTGGGACAAACATTCTGCCCCATAAAAAAGCTTCCTCCCAACTCGGTTCTCTATAAATTACAACATTAAATGTGGTTCTCTATAAACTACAACATATAAATATATCAAGGTAAAATTTGGAATGTCATGTTTCCTTGAGGTAGCTCTCCCGTCCGCCGACTCCATCTTTAATGTAACATTCCAGCTACTTCTGAAGTCCCAAACTAGAAAAGTGATGAAGAGAACTATAAAATTGCCAGAGAAAGGGCAAAACAACTAAGGGGCCGCTTAACAAGTCTCTGAAAGTCCTAGGAAACCGCAAACTACTGTTAGGAGAAATAAATGTGTTTGCAGTTTAGCAAGCACTAAACTGCGGGGATGTGAGCCCTTCTAACCTCGCAGAAGGTGGCTAGCTGCATTCCATTTCCTTGGAGTAAAGATCAAAAGGCAAAAGAGGAAAAAAAAATTAACCATTTTAATGAGTTTGGAAGTTGGCGGCTCAAATTAAGCCTGGCAATAACTACGAATTGACTATATTTTCACTAACCGAACACATTCTAATATAGCCTTTCATAAGTGGAGCCGAACGTCATAACAACATCGTTGGGTTTATGCTTTGTACGGAGGCCCCAGCCAGTCCCTTGAAAAATAAAACTTCCAAGAAAAGGCAACATTACAACTGCTTGAAGAGATGGACCATACTTGAACTAAGCTGGAGAGGACTCTTGAAAGAACGCAGGTGGGCTGCTCCACCAGGTCTTGGATTGTTTAAACTGTGAAAACACTTGCAGGAGAGGCACAGTTGGGAAGCTATGGAAAGCAACACGCTAAATTTGCTCCGAACGGCAGCAGGAGAGGTACACACTGACCAACGTGTGTGGTAAACGGATAGCTTTGTTCAGGATGGAACCAGTCTGGGGAAATATGACACAAAAAACCAGCATTTAAGAACACTAGGAGGTGCCAAAAATCCCCCGAACATTTCTATTGTAATAATCTGTTCAGTCCCTTTGGGAAGCTTTGAGGTCAAGAGTAGTTGTAATTTTATTTCATGCGTGGGGTGAACTGAGCCCTGTACTTTCTGGATTTGACAGCAAGCGCCTTGCAAAAGCAACCTCCAGGCAGATAAATGCACGGTGCATCAAAATATGTAGGACTGGGCTTGTAGCTCAGTGGTTAGAGCGCTTGCCCAGCACTCCGGCTCAATCAACTATGCACTACATGAAGAGGATTTGGTGCCCTTGGCCTCGACTGGAAACACTTGGGAGAGAGAACAGAGGTACGAGGATCAGGAATTCGAGGGCTTTTCAGCCTGGGCTACAAGAGACCCTTTCAAAACAAACAAGCGTGGTGTATATCTTCATACCTCCAAGATAATAGCTACTTGTTTGCAGGTCTTTGACTATGGAAATTTTAAACACGTGCAAGGGGAGAGTACCTCCCGGCTACAGCAATCTCAATTCACAAGTCCATCCACCTCCTTCGGGATTTCGGAGTCGGTTGCAGACTTATCAACTCCACCACTAGCTAAATATGCACTTCTAAAATTAGGGTCAGCTTTCCTTCTAAAGACCTCAAGGCCACGATACGACTTTTAAACGTTGCAAAAATTGTTTAAGGTCGTCAATAGCCGAAGCCCCAAAACGTTAATCACCTCCCTTTTATAGTTAGCTTTCTGCGTCAACACCGGAATTGGGCTTAAGTAAATTTCTCAGTTTCCACTGTAATTCGAGCAGCAGGTGGCCTCGTAAATCCCACGAATGGGCGGGGTCTGGGTTCCGGTTCCGTGCGCCACTGGGTCCCACCCCTGTTGCCTAGGCGACGGCGACAAGGGCTGCTTCCTCTAGACAAAACATGGCAGGGTCGTCCTCCGGAATGACCTTAGGCTCTGTGAACCCGGCGGTGACTCTAGCAGGCACCACGGATGACTCTGAGGTATGCACCCCCTTACTGTCTTGGTATTAGGTCCTCTGCTAACGCCAAGGTCACTCAAGGTCAAGGCCAGAATCACACAGACACAACCTGTGATGGCCTGCTACCTGCTCTGTTGTGTCAGGGGGTCCCCAGGACCCTGTGAGCTTACTCTGGAGAGGTCCATGCTTACCCAGCTTCAAAACCATGCAAATCTTCAATTGAAAAAAAAAAAAAAGTAATCTCTGATCTTAAAGGGGACCAACCCTTTTTGCAGGTGCCACTGATTATGAAGATTAGTCATAACTGATCAAAAGGTGTTTAAAAAATAGTTGTTATCTGAGTGGGTCAGGTTTAGTTTCTGTTGTCACCAGGCCCCTTTGCCAGGAGACAGGACCAAACACCCTGAGCCTGAGTCTGTTCTCCCTCCATGGCTTCCTGGCTCATCACGAATTTGTCCCTGGTACCTCAGGGTTCTCTTGGGTAACACAAGGTCTACGATCCCCTCCTGGGGCGATTATAAGGGGGACAACATTAAGTCATTTTGCCCATTGACTTAATGCTTCGTGGTTTATTTTTATTATGTTTTTGCTTATTCTTGGGTGGGTGACTGGGTGCCTGGATGAGTGCCAGTGCTCACTGTGGAGGTCAGGAGACCATTTGATGGTGTCCACGTGGGTCCCAGTGGTGACGCTCAGGTCTTCAGCCCTGACAACAGGTGCCACCATCCTGTGCTAAGATTTTAACCACGAGTGCATCGCCTAAGCCATCTATTGCTAACTTTTTAAACGTCTAGATCTCCTCGCTATCAGTCTATCAAATACTGTTTCAAGGATGTTATTTTATTATTATTATTATTTCCTTTCTTTAAAGACTCTGAAGAGTGAATGATGAAGTGTTAATTAACAGGGCTTTGTTCAGGCTCCATATTAGTCTAAACATCAGCCTTTGTGAAGAAGATAAGTATTCGCTGCGGTCTCAGCAGTCAGGAAGCACAAAGCCAATAATTTCATGCCTCCCTCTCCTACAAGCGAGCCAGTCCCCCCTCTCCAGGTCCCCCAGTACTGCAGGCAGACAAGCCTGCAGGCTCTCCCAGGAGCCTTTTGAAATAAAATTAGCATACGTTAAATGCACATTTTAACATGATAAACTGGATTCTAAGCTCATTCCTCCCTTGTGATCGCTAATGTAAGTTAACATAATTTTAAAACCAGCATAGGAAACTTTCTAATTAAGTCCTGTGTCATTTAAACATATACAAAAACTTCTAAGACTATATCGTCTTCTTGTGCACACACACTAACTTACCAGTGAACGCAAGGCCCTCTCCAAGAACATTTAGTGATTTGAGTTTTAATGAATCGGTATTTAAGAGTGGGGGGGTAGGATGGGAGGGTTTGTGCGTGGTGTAATGAATAAATCTTTTTATTAGTAAGAAACTGAAGAAGTCCAGTTGTATCGGAGGCTCGCTGAGCAGTGCTCTTTGAGTAAGAATGACAGTTAATACATAGAGGGGTGGACTCTCCGTTTCCCATCCCTGTAAAACTGAGTCCTTGTAGACCACAGCAAGGTGGTCCACCATCAGGACTGCCCGTCTGTCTATGGACTTTGAGGTTAGAAGGAAAACACAGCAAAAGGCGCCCTTGTAGGCCATTTCCAAGGCTGCTGCAGGAAAAGGCCCTGGGGTCAGATTTCTTGCAGAGTTGACTCCCTTACAGTTATCCACTTAAGGGTTTTCTGGTAAATTCTATCTCTAAATGGACTGGACATAGCCAGAAGACCGTCCAGTCACTCAGGGCATGCAAGAATGAAAAGTTTCTTTTTTTGGTCAAACCAATGAGAAATAAAGCACAGGCTTCCATCACTGTGGTTCCCTACGTGTCGGAGGGGCAGTGTCCAGAATGAAAACAGTGGGTCCAAAGGAAATATGGTTGCCATCAAAATCATAGGCAGCCTTCCATGTACCAGAGAAGGCAGTCACCAGAAACTACAATCCACACTGGGACACCCTGAGCAGAGGAGAGGGCACTGGGGCACAAACCAAGAAAGCAGATTTTGGCTGTGGCATTCCCTGAGCTCTGCTTGCTAGTACCTGAAAGATACAATCCAGATTTTGAGCCTTTTTTGTATGAGTGTGCAAGAACAAAAGTAATAACCAAAAAGAAAAGAAAGGTTTGCTATGTATAGAGACCTATGTGAAAATAGTTTATAAATAAACACCTAGCTCAAATTCTGCTGCCTCCCAGCCAGTTAGTTGTTAAATTGACTTTCTTAGTATCTTCAAAAATGTTAATTAGTAGTCTTAAAAGGAATGTGGTTTAGCTCACATTAGAGAGCTCAAGGGAATGAAAGTGCTTCTGTCCGAATCACTGTTGCTGAATATGATTCATAGCATGTCCAAACCGGGGATGTGAACCCATTGTCTCTGGGAACTCAACAGAGGGCAGACATTAACTGCCAGGGACAAGTGCTGGTGTTCATCTTACAGACTTGTCGACATGTAGTCCGGTAGGACTCTGTAGACAGATCTCATCTACACGCGAAAGTCCTCTAAGATGGCGGAGGTGGTCTTCTCAAACACCCTGTCAGCTAGGAGAAGCCTGGGGCTCGGCTTGAATAACATACCTTCAAGTCCCTGCATTTGCAATATCATTCTATAAATTACTGATTGAAGTTATGTGCTGAAACTGAAATGTAACTTAGACATGTAACTTATTCAAGTTACACATTGAAGTGTGGCATTTCAGTGTGGATGAACCGTGGTCCAGCACAAGTCAACCTGGGTAGACACTGGGGTGGCCCTGGCTAGTGTCTGCCTGTGCTTAGAGCTTGTGTCCTCCCTGAGCTGTCCTGTTCTTCCGCTGGCCCTCCCTTTAGGTGAGCCCAACTCACTTTCAGTCTTCCAGTATTGAAAGGGCAAGGCAATAAGAACAAGTCTTTAAGAAGTCCAAACTCTTACTTATTAGTGGGGGGCACACAACAAGGTCAGAAGGCAACACTGAGGAGTTCGTTCTTTCTTTCCACTGTGAGTACCAAAGATCAAACTCAAGTTATCAGGCTTGAGCTACAAGCACCTGACCCACTGAGCCAACTCGCAGGCCCAATAGATGCCCAATGTATATATAGACACACACACATATAACATGAGGATCCTTCCTATTGAGTATGCCAGCCTGTCTCCTACCATCACACACATAACAGATGGAGGTAAAATGAATGGACTAGCCATTGAAGCAGAATACAGATTTTTCTATGCGTGTGTAAATTACATATTTAAGATTGCTCTTCTGTTCGACTGTGTGTGTGTGTGTGTGTGTGTGTGTGTGAGAGAGAGAGAGAGAGAGAGAGAGAGTATGTGTGTATGTGGAAGCCAAGAGGTCTGCATCAGATGTCCACCTCAGGCTGTTTTCTCCCTTCCTTTGTGAGACAAGGTCTCTTACTAAGACGTGAACCTCACCAATTCCTCAAAACCAGCGGTTTTCAACCTCCCTAACTCTGCCACCCTTTCATACAGTTGCTCATGTTATGGTGACCGCCCCCAACCATAAAATCATTTTCATTGCTACTTCACAATTGCTACTGTTATGGATCCTAATGTAAGTACTTTTAGAGACAGGGTGTTGCATAGGGGTCTCGACCCATGGGTAGAGAATGCTGCTCTAGACCAGCTGGACAGGGAGCTCCCAGCAGCCTGCCTGTCTCCCCCAGTGCAGTGCTATGATCATTGACGCATACCACCTGGCTTTTCACGTGAGTTCTGGGGATCTGAACTCAGGTCCTTGAGATTTCAGAGCAGGCATTTACCCACTAAGCCATCTCCCTAGCCCGTAGTCTGTCCATTCTTTACCATTGTCATACCATTCTTTATATTCAGCTAGTTTGGGAAGGTCCTTCCTTCCCATCATCTTAACTCCTTCCACATACCTGTCCCTTCCTGTAAGAATGTAAAAGTTATCTTGTAAAGTCCTAGGAAAATCCCACTGGAATTGAGAATTGCCCCTGTGTTACATTTGTTATATGAGAGGAATTTTCATTTCTTGAAACTGAAGGAGTTTCTAATACACTTCGTTTATCAATTCTTATCCTTCAGTTTCTGACAAAAAATTTAGAAAAAAGTTTTAGAATTTTACGATAATTCCTATGCCTTTTTTATACACAGAACAAAGTATAATTTAATAAAGTCTTTGGCCATTTCCATTTCTAATTAGTTTCTCAATTAGAGAAAAGAGCCTGGCTTTGTGTATTTATGTTATGGAGAACCATCTTACCCAGTTTCTTAGCTGAGTGTTAGTACAATGTCAGCCTTCTTAAAGACACTATGATGTAATCTTCAAATAAAGGTCTTTTTGTTCCTTTGTGTCTAATGTTAAAGCCGCATATTTCATCATCTTATCTTCTTACCGTAATAGAGAAGAATGACTCTAATGTTGAATTACAGTAAAGTTGCAAGCCTGGATCGCATTTCCAGCTCTGGGTTCCAGCACTGATCACTATTCCAATGTTAGATGTGATGGTGATGTCCGTTTTGGCAAATAGTCTCTTGTCTAGCTCTGTTTTCTTGTTCCATGTAAATTTACCAAGCATCTTGCTATGAGTTCAGGAGGTACCCGCTCGGCATTTGCCTAGCAGTCCGAGAATTCATGTTGAATTAGACATAAACTTATGTTCCCTCTTGCAGTGATGGTTCTGTCCAGGCAATGACCCATTGTCCTTAAATCGCAGTCGGATTCACATTTGCAAGATCTTTTAACTTACACCACAGCCCAAGTTCATTACTTGGGTTTCTGTATTCTTGTTGTTTTTCTTTGGGCTCTTGTATGTAGATGTGCAGCTTTAAAAAAAAAAAAAAACAAACAAAAAACGGAACCTTTGCCAGGCAGTGGCAGTGCACGCCTTTAATCCCAGCACTCAGGTGGCAGAGGCGGGCAGATCTCTATGAGTTTGAGGCCAGCCTGGTCTGAAAGTGAGTCCAGGACAGCCTGGACTGTTAAACAGGGAAATCTTGTCTGGAAAACAAACAAACAAACAAACAAACAAAAACCAGAACACTTAATAGCCTATAATCATTAACAGGTTTTGGTTAACACAGGTTTTGACCAAGTGTGATACCAGATAGGCAAACTGACTTCACGAAAGGTAGAGTCTAGTTTGCATCCTGTTTGGTAAGGTCGATTTTCTCCTTTATCCCCACTAAGTTTAGACAATTCACATTTTCCTAGGAAATCATTCATTTTCTTGTACTTTCTAATGTTTTGCCACCTGCTGTGGCAGACATTCACTTTTTTATTTTTTAATCATATTTATCAGAGAGTTGCCTTTTTACACATATTTTTAAATAGCTAACTCTTTATTTTGCCTGTTTTTCTTTCCTCTAGTTAGTAATTTTCTTTTAAAAATAATTGGTTTCCAAGCCCCAGTAGGGAGGTCACAATGAAGAGGGTGAGGCTCTGCCTCACTCAGCACCTCAGAGGTACCATCTAGTGCCGTAGAAATCCAGACAGGTGATGCTTCAGTGAGCCACAGTGATAAAATCAAAATGGATGCAGGAAAAGCTGGGATGGATGAAATTTTAAAGTAATGACAGCATCAATATTCCTGATTTTTCTTTTGCCCCAGACTTCGATATGGTCTAACACAACATTGCTCCTTAATTTGCTTGTTTTTAGGTTTGAAAAAAAAAAAAAAAAAAGCTTTCAAAGTCTGGCATTTGTAGAAAAGCTCATGTTCCTTCTGACTGGGAAAGCCCTCTTTTCTAATCAGATAAATCTGTTGTCTTTCCGCTAATGAGGTTTTTCAGAGACTCTCCTATATGAAGCCCTCTCAAGGATGGAGCAGACAAATTCCTAAAAGCCTGTGTTCTGGGAAGAAAACATATTTACAAGGGTGGAGTGTTTAGGTGACGCCCGAGGAAGAGAAATCACATGAGAGATGATCTGGTGAAGAATAGGAGGCTTAAACTGCTGTTTTTGGAATAGGTGCTTAAATCCAGCAGGTGGTGGGATGAAGCGAGTTAACGGTGCTACATAGCCACAGAGTGTCCAAGCTGGAGACCCAGAGACGACAGGAAACCACAGAGACAGGAGGGTGATTTTAGCCTGTTTGTGAAGCACTGTTGTATCTTTGGGCTGTACAGATCAGAATGTATGCACTGGAAGATCAAAGGATTTTAGTCACCTGATACTCTTTCTAATTCATGGCAGCATAGAAATACAAAAAGAAAAAGAAAAGAAAAAAAAGGAGGAGCTGCGGAAGGTCATCATTTAAAATAGGTCCAGAAATATCTATGTATTTAAATGCTGCTATTATGAGCAGTAATACTAATAAAAGAGGCAGCCTCTGCTGAAAGATGATTATCTTAAACCCAAAACATTTCAGTAAAAACAGTGGCACTGATATCGGCCATCATTGCTCCAGCTCTGACTATCAAAGGGTTGATATGATTGAACTCTCTTTCATATAGTTCTTTCTACATGACCTTTTTTCCTATCCTGAATTTTTTTCATCAAGTAAATTGATTGATCTGTATGTCCATATCATTCTTTTTCCATGTATTTCTTTTTTTGTTCTGATTTATCGTGGAATCCTGTGAGTACCCAGACATAGAAAATGATTTTTTTAAAAAAATTCTGAATCCAAATTTAAGATCAAATGACTCGGCTTAAGTAATAAAATTAATCAACAACCAAACCATCACCTCATCTACCGTTCCTCTAAATTCCCAGTTCTTCAACGCCATCATGGGATGAAGATGAAACCCAGCGGTGCCTTAGTAACTCATGTTGACCCAGGAGGGTTTGCAACATTCCAGACAGGAGGGGAGGTAGAAGCAGTGTGTAAGAGAATCTTGCACTGTAAGAGAATCTTGTCACTGTAGAGGGAAGTGTACGTTAGTTCTAATAAAGGATGCGTGTAGGCAAAACGCACTGAAGCAAACATAACCTCATGTGTCTGATGAAAATACTACCATCTACCCAAACCCATCGAGCTGATTGGGTTTACAAGTGTCTGAGAGCCCAGCAGGTGCAAAGCATATCTGCTAAAATATCAGATCCAATCAATCATATGACCTAGTTGAGATTAACGTGCTCACCCTATGTTAATAATGCACCACCGCTATAACAATGTAATACTAAGTTTTAAACACTGGACCAATAACGATTGTGTTAGCTTTGGAATTTTGCATTAGAAAGCAGAGGGGCCAGCGCCGTAGCTCAGTGGGTGGGATGCTTGTGTAACAGGCAGGAAGGCCTGGATTTACCACCAGCACCTCATGAATTCGCCTTGGTAGAGCACACTTGTAATCCCAGCATCAGGAGACAGAGGCAGGAGGTTCAGAAGTTCAAAGTCATCCTCTGCGATATAACAAATTCCAGGCTCTCTTGAGAGATGGGAGAAAGGACATGATAATTATGATGTGGCCTGGTTATTAGCTACAATGAGCATCTCCTTGCTCTAACCCTGGTACATTGAAAAGCATTCACCTGTGCCCTCCTCTCCCTGAAAGCTTTGGTCTCTGTGCAGCTGCCTTCATCTCCTGGTTGTATCGCATCTCCTCTTCCATCTTGATTCACAACCCTTTCTCTTCCTACTGTGAACAGGGACAGCCTCATCCATTAACCAGCATCTTTAAACTTGAGACCTTCCTGCCTCTGCCATTTCTAATTAACGTCTAAATATTTGTACCTCGCTCTGCACAACTCACTGTCAACTCTACTGTTGAAACAGGGCATGTATCACCATGAAGGGCCCTGGCTCACCTGCTTTAGACATGCCAACTCTCCATCAAAACTGTGTGCTTAAGAGTGTTTTCTTTAAACCCTTCCTCCACATCCTTGCATTACCCATTTTCTCCACCTCTGCCACGGGTTACAGTTAAACAACTGTTGTTTCCCTACTCAGAAACGTCACATGTCTGTACACATGTACTAGTGATAGAAAATGCCACAGCTCACCATTCTGTCGCTGGCCACAGTCTAAAATGTCTGTGATTCCACGTGTAGTTGTTGTACTTTCTAAGCCTTGAGGAGGCATATATTGCCCCTTAAGTTTAGGACCTCTCACAACCTGCTGTCGTGAGCACAGGCCACCCGACCCTATCTCATTCCTGATACCTGTCCTGGGCACTGCTGGGAATTGTTCACCCAGAGTTCTGGTTATGCGGGTCCTGGAAGATCATTTCTAGACCCCCTTTCTGTAAGGTCACCCATGACCCATTTATTACAGCTCATTTGTCGTGTTCCGTTTTCTTTAAAGTAGTCTTTGTTGTTGTTTGAGAATTTCATACATACATACAAGGTGTTCTGATCAACTCTACCCCTACCCCTGCTCCGCCATGTTCGTGCCATGGTTTACTCACCTATGGCTCCTTCCCCTGACTCCCTGTTGAGCTCCTTGGAGTGAGCAAGTCTCCCCTGACCTTACCGACATCTTCAGCCTGCAGTCCAAAGGGAAATACATAGACGGTCTTAATTGCTGAGTTGTAAAGTAGCCCTCAGTTCTGCATATGCCCAAGGATGCAGAACTGATCATCTAATCACCTAATCGTGTGACTTTTCAGAGGAAAGCCACTACCACAGAACAACAGAAAAGAAAACCGACTAAAGGTCTTATATCATGAGGTTACTATGCAACCTATACAATTCAGATAACTCATTCTCTTTTGTTTGTTTGTTCATTTAATAGAAAAATGCTGAATTCCAGGAGATTGAACAGATTCTGTCTCCAGATTTTCTCCCAGCTGACCAGATAACCAACCTGCTGAGAGAACACAACGTGGATATAATTCAAGAGTAAGGATTTTAGAATCTCCCTCAAGTGGAGATCAGTTCCAGTCCTTCATTGCTAAGTGACCATGGTGCATTGTCTACACACTTTTAAACTTTTATTTCAAACTATGTGCTATTACTGTATGTACTAAAATATGCCAGGTCTTGGACACACACACACACACACACACACACACACACACACACACACACATAAAAATAATCACTCTTTGCACAGCTCAGCAGCAAGCAGCGTTTGCAAGTAACATACCTTAGGAATCTACCCGTTAATATGACCATAGTCCACCTCTACCTGCCCTGGGCTCTCTTCTCTTCTATTCATGAAATTGCCAATATGTCCAATAATCTGAAGGACATCCTTTCGTAACATGAATTATGTATAATATAGTAATGAATGGCAATTAATAGATATTAATAGTAATTAGGCTGTTGTCTTAGTTTGGGTTAGTATTGCCGTGATAAAAAATCACGGCCAATGCAGCTGGGGAAAGAAGGGTATATTTGTCCTACACTTCCATGTCACTGTTCATCATCCAAGTAAATCAGGACAGAAACTCAAACAGGTCAGGAACCTGGAAGCAGGAGCTGATGCAGAGTCCATGAACAATGCTGCTTACTGGATTGCTCATCACGGCTTGCACAGCCCGATTTCTTATAGAACCCAGGACCACAGTCCAGATGTGGCCCCACCCACAATGGGCTGCCCGTCCATCAGTCATCAATTAAAACTATTTCCCATAGATATGACTACAGCCTGATCTTACGGAGGCATTTTCTTAATTAAGGTTCCCTGCTCTCAGATGACTTCAGCTTGGGTCCAGTTGACAGAAACCTATCCAGCAGAGTTACGGTTTTGGAAATTCTGCATACTAACCATTTACCAGTGATATTTATCTTTTAAAAAATGATGAAAAAGGATACTATATCCTAGACTCTTTTTTTGTTTTGTTTTTGAGACAGGGTTTCTGTCCGGGACTTGCTTTGTAGGCCAGGCTGGCTTTAGACTCACAGAGCTCCACCTGCCTCTGCCTCACTGAGTGCTGGGATTAAAGGCATGCACTACCGCACCCAGCTTATACTCTGGACTCCTACAGTATGTGTTGTTTTAAAATATAGGTAAGACTGAATCGGTCACAGTAATTCTAACATCACACTGTCTTGGGTATACAGTACTAGGGAATGTATAGCAGCTAGAAAGGTGGCACATACTGGTCTCATAAAAAGGAGCCAAGTTCTGTTCCCTGTGCCCACTTTAGGAAGCTTGCAACTACCTGGAACTAGAGTTTTAACTCTAGCTCCAGAGGATACAACACACTTTCTGGACACCTGACTCATTTACACATAACCCCCACACAGACAGGCAGGCAGGCAGCACGCACACGCGTGCACACACACACTCTTAAACACACACACACAAATGTTTTAAAGAAAAAAATATTTTAGTAATCACCCATTTTAAAAAAGTTATCCCATCTTGAAGCGGAAACCCGCTTGGCTATAAGGAGCAGTATTGGGTGGCTGTGAGGAGACGACCTGGGCCCTTGAAATCCGATCTTTGCAAGGTAGTACCCAGGACACAAGCATGGTGTCACAGACCATAATGGACACATAGAAAAGGACTCCATCAGCGGTGACCACACACAGACTTTACAAGTGTTAAGTCATTGAAATGATTTCCTCCCGAGGAACTGTGACAGATATCCTGGAGGGGAGAGGAATCTAAGAAGGGAAGGCTCACCAAGAGGAGGCAAATAGCACTGACAGCTTTTTCCCAAGATGCACTTCACCTCCATTGCTTGCAGGCTCTTCTGGGAGGTGACAGCAGTGACTGGGCCATCACAGTCTACTGCCTGCAGCTTCCCAAGAATTAGTTGGAGAATTCAAATTCCACCAGTTTTAAGTGACTTCCCATAACACTTTTACCATTTTTACAAAATAAATATTCATTGGAAATTCTGATTCTTCAGGTAGGGATTGATTTTTAAACAACAACAAAAGCAAAACATTGACTGTACATGGAGACTGATGCCTGAGTTTGAGTCCTGATGTACATGGTGGAAGAAAAGACTCAATTTCAATCAGTTGTGCACTGTTTTTCATACATGTGCTATGGTGTGCAGACATACACACACACACACACACACACACACACACACACACACACCATACACAGAAACATAAGTAAATTCAAAACAATCTTGAAAACTTATTTAAAATAATTACTAATGGTATTAATAAAACACAATATGATTTTACGTAAAATGTATTTTTCCCCACATTCAGGCCACTATAAGAAAGCGATCTTTGTCATGCAGAGCAATACTCAACAATAAGTGAGAATAATTCATTGCAAGTGACAGGTATTTAATCCAGCTTCCAATTTACTTGTAGTAAATAGTAAGCAAAATGTCAGCATCAAAAATACCAAACATCTATTATTTAATAGTAATTAATATTAAATAAAATGTTAGTTTTTAGACTCGTGTGTTTTTACCACATTTTAAGCTGTGTTGTGCTTATGTGCCCTCCCATAGAGAATACATTTTTTTTTTAAATTACTGACCATCCTTTGTTGTTAGATATCCAAATTCAAAAGCTATTTTTAAGCATCAGTAGCGTACACGTTGAACAAAGCGCAGGATGCCGCCAGTATTGAAGCAGCTAGAGAAGAACCGGGCAAAGCGGCTTATTCAGGGGCAAAATCACAACCTCACAGCCAGCCTGGTGTCCAGAATACACCCAGAACAGCCAGGGCTGCCTGGCCAGCTACTATCCCAGAGAAACAAACCAAACCAAACACAACATAAGACTTAGCAATACAGGAAATAAGTACAACAGCTATGTCAAAAGCTGGGTGACATTTCCAGTGACTGGAGTGTACATATCGCACAAAGGGATGCAAAATTTTAGGACAGTGTTATCTTGAGAGCCATTTTTTTTTGGGGGGGGGGGAAATTTTCTTGTGTTTTTAAATATAATTCCTGTAACAATAATCTACATGTATTTGCAATCATTTTCAAGTTAAAACAGCATTATCGTAAGTGATGGTTATGTATTTTTCACAAAGACAGTAGTATAATTTAATTATCCTCTCCCGGGTGACCAAAATAGTCCCAGATCATGCCGTTTGAAAAGCTACAAATTTACTTAAATAAATTACAACAGATCATCATATTTCCCTCCCTACATTTCACAATTCTGAATTTTTCTTTATACCGACAGGCAACCCTAAGAAATATAAGGGATTATTCAAAATACATTTCAAAATAGACTTCACATGTCTGGTATTCTCGTGAATTCTAACTGCTCTCAATGTTTTATTTGCATGTAACTCAGTAGTACTTACAAACCTACCCCAAAATTTCATTTAAAAAAAAAAAAAGATGTCTACAAAATTGACTCAGCAGCTAAGAGCACTGGCTACTTTTGCAGAGGACTGGGGTTTGATTCCCAGCACCCACACGGCTGGATAACAACCATCTGTAGCCCTAGTTCCAGGGGATTAGATGCCATCTCCCAGCCTCCTCAGGTACCAGGCATACAAGTGGTGCTTGGGCATACATAAAAACAAAATACCCATACACATAAAAAAGTTAAGAAAATATTTTTTTAATCTTTTAAAATGATAGAGGCTTATTAAAAATAACTTTATAAACACAGAAGTAACACCGAACCTTGGTTTTCTTTGACTGTGTGTTTGGAACCGAGTCTTACTTTGTCACCCAGGCTGGCCTCAAGCTCACCCCTACCTCAGCTTCTCAAGTGCTAGGCTTTGGGCTGGGCACCACCAGCACCTCACATCTACCACGATGCTTCCTAATAAGCTGATGCAGACAGACAGCTCAAGCTGCTTAACTGGTCCACAGAGTAAGTCTCTGCATAAGGGCGCACTGCAGAAGGAAAAGGCATTCCAAGGGAATGAGGAGATAGTTTTCCCGATACTCCTGACAAGGCAAAGAAGATGGTTCCATTATCTCTCGCTGCATCACAATGTCCCGAGAATCCACTGAACTCCCTCCTCTTCGTGTGCATGAGCCCACACTAGCTGTGGTTCTCCCTCAGGCACCTCTTGCTCCATCCTACCTTACGAGCAAACTGGCCAGGAGAAGACGGAAACTGCGCTCCAGATGTGGCAGCACCGTGCTCTGCATGACTTCCGGTATCACCCCAGGTGGAATAAAGTGACTAGGGGAAGAATAGAAATAGTCAACACTAAGCCCAGAGGGGCAAGCCAAGGGAGCCAGTCCCCTGGTACTAGGGCTGGGTCGGGTGAGTGGGGGTGGGTAAGTAGGGTGGAGGGAGATCAGGGATTGGTCACCAAAAAAATGCTTGAAAAGGCTGTTGAGTTCATTCAAACACAAGCACTGCAAAATAAAAACAAGACAGAAGGAACACGTACATTAAATCAAATATTTACTTATGAATACACAGAATGCAGATGGCAGGTGAAGAGAAAGTTTACCAAAAAAGCCACAGAAGTGAGAGAAACGCCAACCAAAAGCTCATGATTAAAGACTGAATCCATTCCACAAAGCAAGAGATTAAAGAGAGGGTAAGATATGTACATAAAGGAACTATTTGAGCTAAAAGAAGATGCTAAGCATAAAGAATGATGCAAATGTGGAGTCTGCCTTGCCAAAAATGAAGTCAGTGCAACAGAAGATAAATGTGAAGACTTGTAGCAATGCGTGAGTATTAATGTGATGGAATCTAACATAATGAACAAGAAAAGAATTAAAGTTCAAGAAATAATGTGCTCCAGTTTTCCTGTTACAGTGGAATGAAACTTTTAGACATTCCATTGTGTCCAGCACAATGACCCAGGGAGGACATTGAATAGGCAGGCCTTACAAGGTCCCCTGTCAGGGCTGGACAACAGCTACCTGGAGAACAGAAAGAGTCATCAAAATCTGGTTCGTGGAAAGAACATCATTTCAGAATCAAATCCTAGCAGAGGGTCTTCAGGACATTTTTTTATAAAAAAAAAAAAAAATCAAAAATTAGTGTCCTGTGGTTTATCTGACAAATAGCCCTAATTGCCTCAGGAGAGATTAATCAATTCATTGATGCATCTAACACGTCAATAATAAGAAAACTACCAAAGAGAAATTATGATATAAAAAAAAATAAATCCCTGGCAGCAAGCACAAGATTCATTTGAAATTAAAATAAAGGCAAACAGGATAATTATAAACTAGAACAACTATTCTAGAACATTCTGGTAAAAATAAGTATGTGCATGAGGGGGAAATAACCCAATTTCTTCCTTTTACAAAAATAAAACTGAACTTCAGAATGCTTTGTTAAAAAAAAAAAAACTGTATCCCAAATGTCTAGGGTCAATAGTCCTTGTTACACAAAAAGAGTTCATAGAAAATCATTTGTAGAAATTAGCCAATAGGGGTTGAGCAGGTGGCTCAATGGACCAAGTGCTCACCTTGTACTGGGGACTGGAATTAGGAGGCCCAAAACCCATGTTGAAGCTGGACAGTCACAGAGGCCGCCTGAAATCCCAGCATTTGCAGGCAGACAGTGGAAGGCAAGCTGTCCTCCGGCCTCCACACACATGCATGCATACATATTATACATTTTTAATGAGTGCATATACACAATGTATACACACACATAAATATGTATAAACATAGGCATATATTGTAAATGTCGCTATCAAACTCAATTATGAAGTCCAACTGCCTTTACATTTCTTGATATGTGATGTTTTAGATAAAGATGACAAGAGCTACCTTGTCCTAGTGAATTAATAAAGTAATCGAACACCTCCAGCCAAGTCTTAGAACAGTTTCAGAGGCTGAACGGCCTTGTGTGGCATGGTGGGAAGGGGAGGGGAGGTGGACGGTTGCTTAATCAGACCTCATGTAAGGTTTGTGGTTTCCCTCACAGCACTGTGCTTGAGGGTAACTGTCACTAAAAACGCTTCTACAAGGCTGCGTGGGGTTCAGTCCACAGGGCTGTTCCTCCCTGCTCTTTCAAGGCTTCACTGCGTCCTTGGGTGTCTTTCTTCAATCATCCCCCATATCTCAGATTACCAACACTTGAGCTCGACGTTGATTTGTTACACCTGTGTCAAAAAACGTTTCATTAACATCTAAACTTGTTCTAAACATCACGCTTTGAATAGGGCGAAGGATGGTGGGGTGAACTTGCAGACAGTTAATGTCGAAGTAAAATGAGCCTAGATTTTTTTTTTCTTCTTTTATCTCACTACTCAAAACAGAAACGAATGTTAAAAGAATTGACAGAAAGTAACTCCACACAGGAAATGCCTGCGTTTGTTATCAGAACACAGGAAGTACCAAGCAGTATCATGGCACCGGAAGAATCTACTAGTTACTATAATGACACAGGAAGCATCTAATAGTTTGTATCATAGCTGGGTCTCACATCCATTTAACTTCCCGCAAGCAGCTGTCCACAGACAGAAACTAAGTCCGTCCAAGTCCAACTAACCCATGAGGAATATGCATGCAGAGACGGTGGCAGAGCATAGAAACAGAACAGGTTAGGAACGGGACCGCCAGAAAGATGTAAGCAGCAACACACAGAAGATACAGGCAAACATTGTGTCCCAAAGTTTTAAAACTTATAAAGCAGTTGCAACAAGAGAGTAAAACAGGTTAGGGCATAGGAAGAGATCATGAAAAGGAAAAGGTTATGAACATCAGAAGAAAAATCAGTAGGAAAAGAAAGATCTAACAGCACCCCAGAGAAATAACAACCGCTAAACACATCCTGAGAGAGAAGAATTAAGAAATAGACTCAAAGACAGGAAGCATGTTTGAAAAAAATTCAATGTACCTAAGACAAATTAAAAATACACTACTTGTTTCCTTTCCAGAGAGAAAGGGACAGACTATTTAACAGTCTGTTTTCAGAAAAGAAGCAAACTTAATCAGCAGATTGATTTGTAGAGGGATCCTGGCGGGAGCTGTGTGTGGCTGGGTTGGCAGAGAGAGTGTCCCATCCTCGGCTCCACTGAACCCAGCCTGGCAGACCTGTCTCCAATTCCAGCAGTAGCGATGGGACTAAGGCAGGGGCCTCAGGAGCCCAAGAGCAATCTTTGGCTGCAGAGCAAGTTCCAGACCAGCCTAAACTGCTTGAGGGCCTGTGGTGAATGTTAAATTTCAAGTTTAAAAAAAAAAAAAAATCAGGTAATAAAGGTATAACAAGTGAAGACAGGTAGAAAAGAGAATTTGAAGAGAGAGACAGAGACAGGTAGAGAGACAGAGCGAACCCCACTCCATTCTTTTCCTTCCCTCCTCCAGTCTCTCCCACTGGATTCTCACATGACCAAATACTTGAAGATGAGAAACACTCTAGAATTTATTAAAACATTTGCTTTCAAAACTTCTAGAAACTGTTCAGTATTTAATCCCATTTAATATCTGCATTTTCTCTCTTTGTTACAGAAAAATGAGAGTATTTCTGAATTTTCAAAATATTCATATTTGCCTAAAAGACGCCATTCTCTTAGACTACTATGTGTCTGGGTTCTTTTGGGCCAAAGGAATGGACTTTACTATCGACCAATGTTCAAAATTTATGACCTTGCTGGACATGTTACTTCATAATCTTCAAAGTAAGTACAGTCTCTCCCTGCCGGTGTAAGGGGAGAAAAGGTAGTCTGTGTAAAATAATGATCGAGAGCCGAGAGGCTTGCTTCATTGTGATTTCTTCAGTAAGAACTGTGGGCTTGTTTCCTGGATACAGCAGCCCATTTCTGCTGAATGGTAAATCTTCAAAGAACTCTTAGTGAGACTAAGGTCCTCTTTGTTGATTTGCCAAGAATATTCTAATTAGTATCCTCTACACCAATCACACTCCAAATATCTAAGGAAACTCTGATATTTTGGGGAATTTCTATACATCTGAAACAGTTTTGAGATTCAAATATTATTTAATCTAGCTTTAAAGTGAAATACTATGAAGAAAAAAGAAAAATGAGGGAGCTTTCTGCATACGGTGTGAAATGAATGCACATTATTAGGGTAAAAGAACATGAAGAACTATGCAGTTTCATTTATAAAAGAATGTGTTTTTATTTATATGCGTATAGGAAAGTAGAAAGAATACAGAAAAAAGAAATCAGAATTGTCTGTAAAGCCAGACATAGACACACACACACACACACACACACACACACACACACTTGAACCTGAGAGGGGAATTGAAAGTTTAAGATGAACCTGACACAGAGCAAGAATGGGTCTTAAAACAAAACAGAACTCTGGGGATGGTGTGGAAACTAGAGTGCGAACAGCTGGGGCTGGAGGAGGCCTTTTCAAGCCAGATCTACATAGAAAGCAAAACCTGAATATGCCAGTCATACAAAAATTGAAGTTTCAAAGGACATTTGATGCAGCTGTCCTGAGTGCTGCAACTTCTGGGCAGAGTACTCCTAGTCAGAAGAGAGCAGAAAGAGGTGAATGCTTTCGAGAGCTTTGTAATCCAAATTTGAGGGCGTATCTATGTTTTACACCTTCCCCGCATATCCCAGTGGCCTCCAGATGGCCTCTGGTTGAGCTTCATATGGTTGGTATCAGTTCGAACTTGCACTTTTGACCTTTCAGCAGGTCTCATCCAGCTAAGGCAGGAGAGGATGAAAGCAGAAATGCAAAATAAGGGGAAAAAAAACAAGTTCATTGTTACCTCTGGTTGGATAGCGATATTCTCACAAACCCTTTGATGTAATTAGACTGTAAACAAAGAGTACAGCTACAGTAGGTTTATATAGCAGAGAGGTAAAGAGTGTTTTCAGTTAAACCAAGGGACCATGGGGTCCTGACCATGAAGTCATCACGCCCCACTCCACCACACGTCCAGCCAGGGAGCGTGGCCTAGGTTCCCGGCGGTCAAGTGGCCGAGCCCGCGTAAGAACTGCTTTTGGACAGATGGCTTTCTGAGCTCATCCTTTACTGTGATTGTTGCATGTCTGTAAGCCATTCTGCAGAGAACCCACCTCAGATCAAAACAGATCATCTCAAAGAGACAAAGTGCAGCTCACAGACTTATCTTAAGAGCATGCTTTTGTAAGTTGTACACACCGAAGGCAGAAGTGTTTCTGGAAAAAAAAAAATCACATCTATTCAACAAGTTCAGACTTTTCATTCTTTTCATTATTGTCAGCATTCCCTGAACATAGATGAAGGCATGTAATTTATTTGTTGTTATTCAGAGAAAGACGAGTAAGAATCAGAGACATAGTTAATTCCTTAAGATGGCATGAGGTCAGCTTCAGCAAACAAGAGTCTGGCCTTTTGATGCCACATCAGACATGGCAGGCAGGAGTCAGAAACCTTCAGTGAACAGCAAAGATAATAAACACAGTAGACTGTTAGAAAAGCAAACATGTTGATAGAAGAGAAATGATACGTATTAGGAACGGCACATATGTAGCGGACCAGAAATGGGTACATGAAAGCAAAGGCACATATGTGAAGGGCTAGATACGGGTACACACTGCGCAGGGCACATATGTAAAAGACCAGAAATGGGTACACGCTAGGAAGGGCACATATGTCAAGGGCCAGAAGGTGACAGCACACACTATGAACAGCACAGGTGGAATAAGCTTGAAGCCAGATCTCAGTAGAAACAGTACGTGCCTAATAGATGAAAAAAGTGGTACACCCTGGAAACAGCACATTCATAGAAGAACACAAACTGGTACATGCTCAAGTGTTGCAGGAATCAACTAGAAAAAGCACACACATAGACTAGCTTTCGGGGGTTTCCTGTGAACTTCCTATTTGCCTGTGCCAATAGAATGCTCATCTTAGATGCAGGAGGTTGAAGATAAAATGATGAGACCGGTGACCTAGCTAGCAAGCATCCCTTTACCTGACCCTGCCTGAAGTTTTCTTACTAGTTACAATCTAGAGTTTCCTTCCTTACCTCAGTTTCCCAGAATGTACTTGGTTTAGTCCCTCTCAGTCTTGTCACTTCACTTGTGGGACTTCAAACAACTGAAAGGGTAACACCTATAGTTTTCAAAGAAATCATCTGCAGAAAAACCTGGGCTCCACAAAAAGAGTCAGCCACGGGTCAACACAAGCAACAGTTATAAATAGATGCATTCTGTGTTTAGTAACTATAGTTCCATCCAGAATTCAAATCAACAATCTAAATTCCCTTTTTCTCAGCCTTTAAATTAATGAGTTTGATTTTCTATTTTATTATGTATTGCTTTCTTCCTCCTCATCTTTCTTTCCTAAGTTCCCTTCAGCTGTGGGGTGATTTTTTTTAAGGTTTATTGTGAAAAGAGTGCTTTACCTGAGATGAGAAACAAAAGCCCCTCGTGAGTCGCGTGATAATCACGACCTGTAGGAGGGCATGATTGCGTAAGAATTACCGCTGCTAAGTTCTGGGTACCTGCCTTTCCAGGGTATGTACTAGCACTGGGTACATTTACTGCAGTGCTCAGTGGGGTGTAATTACCTTAAGTTTCTTTCTAATTGCTATAGATAGAAGAAAATTTGAAGGAAATAAATTGTAAGCTAGTGTTTGCCTGGAATGTCCCTCTAAAAGTTATATTAGTGATTCTGCTATCTGCAGCTTGTTGAATATGCATTCCGGAGGGGAGGGGGGGAAGGAGGTACAGGGAGAGGTGCCTGACACAGCTGCTCCAGATGTGGCTGGGCCACCTAATCAGTACATAGTCTCACGATCCATCTTTACCTCCATCCTCATCCTCCAACATTCCATTCCAATACAGGATGTAGGATGTTAACTGATGGGCTCCTAAGAGATCTTCACTTCTGGGCTGCAGCTTTCTCAAATAATCTCCTCAGACCCCTCAGCCAGGCACTGCAGCTGACAGTCACCCATCCTGACCCACAGCCCGCACACATTTCTCCACGACCTTGCAACAGAGGTGGTGCCTCCATCCACCTCTGTTTTGTGTGAATGCCTATCCATGAGTGTCAGGAAAGATTCTCTTGACACTCCAGTGACCTGCATCCAATCTCCAAGGGGGGTGGGAAGGGAGAGGGCATTACAGATTGCAGACAGTATTCTATCTCACACACACACACACACACACACACACACACACACACACTCAACCAATCAAAAAGGATGGTAGACATTTATACTTTCACCAAAGACACCATGAGTTAAGACTGAGGTCATAAATATGTAATTTTTGTTTTCAACTGGACAAGTGGAGGAAACAGCCTTCAAAGGAATGTTGGTTGGTTGTGTGCACGTGTGTTTTGTTGTTGTCTATTTGTAGTTTTCTGAGAATCTTCTAAAGCCACCACTTGCTCTTTGTGGGTCGTGGTGAGGAATTTCTGTCATTTCCATCCAGGTCTGATAGTCTCACCATGGCATGTTCGGCAAACAGGTTAGATGGCTTTGAAGTCCGAAACAGTGGTGATATTTTATATGAAAATTCCCACTTTCACTATAAATATTTAAAGTGCTTTCGAGATAGCTCAGCAGGCAAAGGCCACCAAGCCTGATGACCCAAGCTCAGTCTTTGGAAACCAACAGGTGGAAGGGGAGAACCAATTCAATGAAAGTTTACTCTGTCCTATACACAATTCATGTGACGCAAACAGAGATGCAAAATAAATAAAACGTAAAAATAAGTACACAATATTTGAAAACATTCATATATCTGACTCTATCAAAAATCTTCAGGCCAAATTTTCACGTAATACCACCCAGCTAAGAAACAGGGGAATCTGGTCATTGGCCTTCCCGGCTGAGCTCAGCACTGGTGTTCACAGTGGCCAAACCCATGATCTGGGCCTCTTCACCACCTATGACAGCCATCTTCTCTCTAATTTTTATATACCCTTCTTTTTTTTCCTTTCTATTTAAAAGTGGTATTTAGATAAATATTTGTTGTTTTGCTTTTTTAAAAGAAAATAAACTGTCCAGACGCAGATATGATCATAATGATGACTAACCCAACGGCTGCTAATCCATCCAAAATGCAATTATTAATTTGTTGTAAAGAAACAAGCGATTTGCCTTTCCTGTCCACAAATGCTAGACGGGGTAAATTTGGGCACATTCAGGGCACCATGGACTATTGTACCCCCACAACAGCTATCAGAATAACGGAAAGGCTCCCTGGCTTTGATTTCAGCACTCCATATGTCCTTAGAGGACAGCATCAAGTGGCTCGGCGAAGTGATGGCAGAAATTGGACCAAACCATTCACAGAAGAATGAGGAGCTGCACATCTTTGATGTCAGAGAATCAAAGGCCATCATCGACTACTTAAAAATCAGGTAGGACTTGTGTCCATCCCATTTATCTTTCCATTCCGTGCCTTCTAGAAAAGACCCATTGATGACAACTTAGTAAGTGAAGATGGAATTTGTGCAACAACTACTCAATAAGCAGATAGCACACGCTCTGGGGACATGGCTCAGTGAGTAAAGGTGCTTGCCACCAGGCCCCTAGGACCTGACTTCCATCCCGGGGAACCACAAAGTGGAGGAAGAGAATCAACTAACCCCTCCAAGCTGATCATTGATACATGGCAGTGGCAGAAATGTATCCACACACCTACATGAACACAAAAGTATTGTTAAAAAAAAAATAGAGAAGACTCAACTTACCATCTAACAAATGAAAACGGGAACTTGAACATTTGTCTCATTCTCCATTCCTAAAGTTGATTCACGAATGACACTGTAATTTCATCTGGCCTGTAATCACCGCTGCGGATTGACTTTCTTCCCTGAGTCTGTAACTAGCAACATTTTATTAATAGAATTGAATATAGTTATAATGGGGCTATATTTTAGGTAGCAGGTTTATCCAAGGAGCCACGTTTACATTTTAAAGAGTAACATTCATTTCCACTTAAAAGTTGATGTTACATGATTTGTGTTTGCAATGAAAGAGTTGCAAGTCCCTCTGGCAGAGGCCTGTGATTCCAGGTAGGGAAGGCTAAGGGACTATGGCATGAGTTCAAGGCCAGCCTAAGCAATTTAGTGCACCCTCATCTCACAAGTATTTGCAAAGAGGGTTAGGAATGTAGATCATTGGTAGGGTGTTTCTCTCTACCAAGCATGAGGCTGTAGGCTCAGTCCCGGTATGGGGGGAAATGAGATGCACCTATTCCATCACATTTATTAAATAACCTAAGCTAGTTTGAACTAATGGCCAGTTTAACTCATTATTCAATCTTAATTTCTACTTAGAAAATGATTGTGGATGGAGTGGAAGTTTTTTCATATCATAGTGGCTCCATTACCAAAACAAGATATCTGTCTCTTTTTTTTGTTGTTGTTTTGTTTTTGTTGTTTTTGCCTGTGTATGTGCAGTCTGCATGCATGTTTGCTGATGTAGGGACGCACTGTGTACAAGGGTGCACACATGTGCAAATGTGTTTGGAGGCTCGAGGTTGACCTCAAGTATCTTCTTCAGTTGCTCCCCACGTCATTTATTGAGGCAGAGGCTCTCGCTTGAACCCGAGCCCTCTGCGTCAGCGTATTCAGCTAGCTGGCTGGTCCCAGGGAACACCGGCTCTACATGCTGAGTCATAGGATAAGTGGTGGTCTGCCATGCCCACCCAGGATTTATATAGTGCTGGGGACCTGAATTCCGGTCCTCAGGTAGGTGCAGCAAGGGCAGAGCCATCCCCCAGCCTGAAATCTGTCTTTGTAGAACCTGTCACACAGTGTGTGTGAGAGGCACTCCTCTCTCCAAAGAGACATTTCACAATACTGGAACATCGGCTGATGAAAGTCTGCCTCCGACGCACTTCGTCTTTCTGCATAGTCTCCTTGCTCTCTCTTTTCAGCTGTGTCTATTTTCCAACATTCCATTTAGCATCCTTCAACACAGAGGGCCTTCCAAAGCCCTTCACAGCTTCAAGATTCACTTGGCAAAGACTCTGGTTGTCATCTGGAGGCCTTATAAACATTAGTGTGTTTAATATTATAAAGCGTATGTACTGATTTCTAGTGTGGCTTAATAGTGGCTTGTGATACAGTACTTTTTATAAGGTAGCATTTAATACAGGGTGATTTTTTTTTCAAAGTACAAAACATGTTTCCTAACATGCACTGAATGTCCTAATGTCCTGGTGTCTCACTGAAAAGCATGGAAGTTTCCTTATCTCATAGAGCAAGACAAGTTCCACCAGTGGGGGAAGGGGAGACATGGACGGGAACTTGCCCTTTGGCCAGGGTAGATGATGGCTGTGTGTGTAAAACACTTGCTGCAGAAGCCTGAGGACCTAAGTTCCAATCCTTAAAGAGCCAGGTGTGTCTATAAGACCAGGATACCCACACAGGGAGCCAGGAGGTGGTAGTGGGAGAGTTCCTGGAAGCTCCTAGACCAACCCCACACACAAACACACACACACACACACACACACACGTGCACACACACACACACCATGCACACACATGTGAATCCGTGCCTTGAGGCCCTTTCTGCCCCTTAGTGTTTCAACTTACCCTGAACAGGGTAAGTTGGCCATTTACCTTTGCACTGGCTTTCTTCTTCATCTACACATACCAGTGTGCTCTGGTGGCCACATTTTTTTTCTTACAGCTGAGCCCTAAGCCCAGGTTTATAATGCATAAGGGGCCCGACGGCTGACCACAGCATCAAAGCCATGCCATGGTGACCGTTCCCTGTCAGTGAGGGACAAGCTCCTTCCCGTGTTTCAACTCATCCCTCCGGGAAATGTTCCTCACTGCACATCTTAACAGCTCCACATGCCCAATCTTAGATCTCCTAATAAAAAGGATATTTAAAGAGATTAGTCCAATACAGAAAATCCAAATGTAATGCTGCTAAATCCCTGCATTGTGATTACAGAGGAACTATGCATTTAAATACAGTTATTACACAAAAAGTAAAATATCAGTTACCAGGATATCTGGAATCGATAAGGAAGCTGTATGAAGCAATGTGAGCTTTTCCACAGCTGTTCAGAACCCCTCATGGGCTCACAAATAGAGATTTAGTGGTGAAATTACACAAATATTCATTTCAATGATTATTAAGTTTTATAAATATAGCAATTACTAAACTATCAAAAGTATGTGTGCTTCAGTTTAGCCTAATAGTCTGTTGATCTAACTACTGAAACCATGCTAAACTTAAGGGAAGGGTTTTTTGTTTTTGTTTTTGTTTTTTGGTGTTTGTTTGTTTGTTTTGCTATAGTCCATGGCATGTGCATTACAAGACTATTAGTGAACAAATTCCTGTTCGCCCCAGAGAACAAACACACAGAACAAAGAAATAATTTCACCCAAGTGTAACTTAGTGAAATCATGAGTTTATTAGAATTACTTACAGGAGCATGGGTAACTCAAAGACAGCTGAATCACCCTCACTCCCAGCGCGGGCGACAACTCATGAAAGCCACATCCTTCCAGCTCCCTGGACAGTGTGACAGGAAGCTTTATTGGTGACTCTCCCCAGCCACTGCCTGTTGTTTCTAGAGCCTTGGTGTGGAGCATCTGAATCTTTTAACTTTTCTGGACTTCTGGAGCCCCTGGATTCAGGATCTCCTCAGCCTGGCAAGATTTATTGTCAACTCTTCCTGCAGGAGGCAATGTTGCAGTTAGGAGGAAATAGTCAAACAATAAGATAAAACTTGTCAAAAAATTTATATTTCAGTTGAGCTTAGAGCCCTTTCCTGACCTGCCTACCCCACCTGGGACACAACCAGCAGAGGTGATTCATATGAAAGCCAAGACCTGCATTGTCCTCCATCCAGAGGAGGCCCTTGAGGCTCCTTCTGCAAGCAACATTCAGCTTAGAGCCCTCTCACCTTACTCCCTATATGCCTGACCCACCTGGGGCACAACCCCCAGAGCCACCAGGGCTAGCAGAGGAGCTCACCCAGCATAGCCCACACAGGCCTTTGGGACCCCAGAAATATTCAAGTTCACCTGAGGCACGGCTTCCAGAGCCAATACCAAGGCAAGCCAGATGGCTAAAGGACAGCATAAGAACACAATCAACAAGGCCTAGGGCAACAAGACACCACCAGAGCCTAGCTATCCTAACACAGGAGGCCCTGGAAATTCTAACATAGGTGAAGCACGAGAGAATTACCTTAAATCCAACCCTATAAAGATGACAGAGGCCTTTAAAGAGGAAATGAATAAATCCCTAAACAGATACAAGAAAACACAATTAAATAGGTGAAGGAAATGTTCACTGTTTAAGACCTGAAAATGGAAGTGGAAGCAACAAAGAAAAAAAAAAAATGAGGAAATCTTGAAGATGGAAAACTTAGGGAAGAAAATAGAAATTACAGAGGTAAGTATCATCAACAGAATACAAAAGATGGAAAAAGAATCTCAAGCATAGAAGATGCAATTGAAAAAAAATCAATACATCTGTCAAAAAAATCTTAAATCGAAAAAATTCCTGACACAAAACATCAAAGAAATCAAGAACACTATGAAAAGGTAAAACCTAAGAATAGTAGGAATAGAAGAAAGAGAAGAGTCCAAGGCCCAGAAAAATGTCTTCAACAAAATCATAGAAGAAAATTTCCCCAACCTAAAAAAAGAGATGCTTATAAACATACAAGCGGCCTCCAGAACAACAAATAGATTAGGCCAGAAAAGAAAATCCTCCCGCCATCTAATAATCAAAACACTAAATGTACAGAGCAAAGAAAGAATATTAAAAGCTTCAAGGGAAAAAGGTCAAGTAACATATAAAGACAGACCTATCAGAATCACACCTGACTTCTCAACAGAGACTGTAAAAGCCAGAAGGGCCTGGTCAGATATCATGCAGACCCTAAGGGACCACAGATGTCAGCCCAGACTACTACACCCAGAAGAACTTTCAATCACCATAGATGGAGAAAACAAGATATTCGATGACAAAACCAAATTTAAGCAACATCTACCCACAATTCCAGCCCTACAGAAAAATACTAGAAGAAAAACTCCAATCCAAAGAAGTTAACCACATCCAAGATAACACAGGGAATAAATAATTCCACACCAGAAAAAAAAAGGAAGCGCACACACACACACACACACACACACACACACACACACACACACAAACACCACCAACATGAAAATAGCAGGAATTAACAATCTCTCCACATCAGTGGACTTAATTCCCCAATAAAAGACACCACACCAGAAAAAAACTGAAAAATATCTTGGTGTAACTCTAACCAAACAAGTAAAAGACTTGTATGACAAGAACTTCAAGTCCTCGAAGAAAGAAATTGAAGAAGATATCAGAAGATGGAAAGATCTCTGGTGCTCCTGGTTAGGTAAGATTA